CAAGAAAATGTTTGATTCCGTGTTTTCCGGGGAACTGTCAGAGTTTCTAAACAGAATTGTAGTTTAAACAAAGGTCTCGTCAACTTTACAGTTCCAAAAGGGCTCAGGCTCCTTCACAAGCCCCAAAGCCTGTAAATCTAAGAGGGCCCACACCCAATACATTCCTGTGTCAGAGACTAACAGAGTCTCTAATTACAAGGTGTGGCACTTCTGGACAAGAGACGGCTAATCCATCAGATATGTATATTATTTTACATTTTCCCTAGATTTCTTCCTCTGCTCTAGAGCTGAAGGTTCACTCACAGGCACACAAACACAGCCTATCAAACAAAATAAAACTCAATAGTAATCTTTAGATTACGATCCAATCAGGTGGAATTAAAAGCAGTTAACAATAAATTACTATAAGTAAGAAGGATATTCCAAGTGCCGAATTCTAATCCTGTTCCAGTCTCTGTATCTAGATTCATTCTGTCATGTATGTTGTAATGGGAGGTGGGGTGTTACAACTTGGATCAACAAAATCAGTCATTTCATAGTGAAAGGTATTGTGAGTTTCTTCGAAATTTGAACCAATGCTAATACTTCCCTATTTCATTTCTTAAGCTTTCTTGCATAATATCATTTGTAAAAATCAAGACTGAAATGCAGAAAGGCTTCTGTTGTAAAATGAGACTAACCCATCAGCAATAAAACTGCAGTGTTTTAACTTCAGGTAGTCTGTATGATTTCAGCTTGCTGGAAAAAAAATGGCCAGGTTCTTTGTTTGTTGCTGAAAGTGAAGCTTCTCTTATTAGACAAAGATTTAACGAATGTTTTGGCCACAAGTGAAATTATCTCATTCCCTCAGAGCAAGGATTTCACAGGTGATGATTAACTGCAAGATCACAGAGATTAAAGTTAGAAAAGAGCTCTTCGGTCAGGCCATTCCTCCCTGAGGGCAGGTGCGGAAGTTTTCCTTATGGTGTATTTCTTTACTTTCTTGTCCAGTCTTGTTTAGAAGGCTTAAACAAAGAAGCTTTTTGCAAATTCCTTCCAGCATCCTTTTACTGTTTGCCTCCTGTCTTGGGGTACTTTTTGATTCTTAGTTGACTCAGGTGATTGTCCCTGAACAGTGACTATCCTATAGATCTGGGAATTTGTTGCCAAGACCACCTGTCAGGCACAGCTTTTGAAGATTTAGGAAGGATTTGAAGAAAAAGAAGAGCAAAGCCTGAGGTGAAGGAAAGGTGGGTAAGGAATAGGCAAAATACCATCCATGGCCAGGTCGTTCAAAGCATAAGCAATAATACTTTAAAAGTGTGTACTTGCATGTGCAAGTCTAGATATCCACAGCAGAGTAATAGTCATTTTTCATATATGGCAGCATATACAGTTTTCTCATGGCAAAAGTCAGAGTTCGTTCCTTCCTTCCTTCCTTCCTTCCTTCCTTCCTTCCTTCCTTCCTTCCTTCCTTCCTTTCTTCCTTCCTTCCTTCCTTCCTCTGGGCAGCTTACAACTAAATACCAGATTAAAAACATCAAATCTCAACACCAACAAAAATAACAAGCAAGATTAATCACTCAACTTCTAAAAGCTTCTAAAAACACTAACAGAAATTAAGTATATAAACATAATTGCTTGGCTTTAGTGCTACATGAGTCTGCAACAAAATGTTGAGATGTTCCTGCTCACAGTTCTAGGCAACCTGCAACCTACACTCTTTTCCAAGGTCCTCCATTTCATTTTATTTCCTCTTTAGTTTCATCCTCTTTCATCCTTACTCCACATTTGAGGTTCTCTCCCTCTCTGTGAGTCTTTTTCTAATACTTTGGCGGGGGGGGGGGGGAGATACCTCCCCAAAGTTAGGAATGTTATCAAAGCTGCAGATACTATTGCTTTTGTGGTTAACCATCCTTCAAAAGAACACATATTTTCAATTGATATGTGACATTTATTCCTAACTTTTCTACAAAAAGAATTGAAAAGCAGTTTATAAACAAGCTAAACCAAATCACCAAAAGACTTTAAGTAAGTATCCAAGAATTTTAATCAAAATTCTGGTTAATAATCAATGTTACATTTTACTGTAAACCTAGTCATATCCCATGTGCTATGAACTCCATCCTGCTTCAGTGCTATACCTAAGCAATTAATATTTTTGTTAAAAGTATTTCAGTTCGACAAGAATATCTAATAGGAATGAATGGCATGTGGCTACCATAACGTTCCTCAGTCTTCCTCCTTTATTGCCACACATACATGAGGGTTAGTGGGAGGAGGACACGCTGACAGAATTTGTCACCTAATGGAGATTTACTTTTTTTCCTGCTCTGTCGGGTCTCTCAAACTGAGATAGGCAAGCAAAGTTACAGATGAGGATTTCAGTTTAAAATCCTTCCTTCTGAAAGCATGTAGCATCTCTATGCAGCAAATCTCTCTGACAGGCAAAAAAAAAAAAAAAACCAAAGGAGAATCAGCTTCAGGAAAATGCCACTGATTGCTCTACTGCTCTCTCTTATTTTCTTCAATGACTCTAAATCCTGGTATGTGTAATTTCCCTAGCAACCGGTTTGACAGAAAGTAACCTAGATTTCCATTGCCAGCACCTCCCACTGGCAGGTCTCACAGGTAGCCTTATCCATCATGCCCTTACCTGCCTCAGGCATCTCTCTCTTCTCTTACCAGGCATCAGCTCTAGGCAGAAGGTCTGAGGGTCTGGGGCAAAGGGAGGGGGCTGGTTACAATTTTAGGTATGACTTCCAATCTTCTTAATAGACTTCCTTCCTTTTTTTCCCTTTGGGCAGAGCCTTCTGTGTCCTGAAAAGCTGCAAGCATGACAAATATATAGCAAGTTTCATTCAAAACAATATTAGCTCAAGACTTGGGGAAGGTGTCCTGAACAAGACTTCTTCTTGTCATAGCTGCCCCACTTGATCCACCTGTTTTTTCCTTCTAGGCCCAGGTTGCACACTATCCAAAAGGAAAATGAACTTGCCTTATTCTTAGAATGATTTACACCAGGGATGGGAGCCTGTCACCTTCTGGATATTATTCCTACAACTATGAACTCTTACTTCCTGTCTTCCTCAAACCTGGCCTTGATTGGCTGGATCTGCTAGAAGCTGCTGTTGTATATGGTTACAGAAGTTCTGGCAAAAGAACGTGTCCTTTTTTTGTTGGGTTTTTGTTGTTGTTGTTGTTTTTCTCATGTCCCTTGTTTGGCAAGCATACCCTTAAAATCAAAGATTCTCAGTTTTATTTTTTAGAGTCTTGGGGTAATGGTTTTGTTTTGTTTTGGGGATTGATTTTGCAATAGTTGGTATTCACACTTTTGTGTAGTATGACCCTGTGTCTGCTTCTTTCTTTCCATCCTCTGTTAACAGATTCAATAGCTAAGATTTACATTATTTAAGTTACTTCCTGATTTCAGCAGTTGGCTTCAATCCCACCCTTCAGATCTATGATATCTGTAGTCTGTAGATCACCTGACCCATCAAAGTGTCCATGGTGAAATTTGAAAAGTGTGTTGTTGTCAGTTCTATATCATCGCTAGGATATGTTCTGTAGGAAAAACATTAAGATTGAAAAACCAGTCTTTCTGATGCTAGAAAAAGTAATTTGATATACATTTAGGTCTAGGTACTTATTTTTTTTTTTTTTTTACTTTTTCACTGTAATTTTTGTCATGGATGCCAAAAAAATTAAACAGCATGTCCTCCCATTCCCTTGCCCTCACTTTTCCTCCTTTCCAGTTGTCCACATCCAACTTTGCCTGTTCCGATATCTGGTAATCCTAATCTTAGTAGAGTTATAGTCTGCCTTTGTTCCAGTTAATCACTTTTTTCTTCCAAATTTGTCCATGCAATAACTGATTTGCCAGGTAGGTCACAGCTGGGAAGAAGTCATTGTATTTGTTTCCCTCACCTCCAGTCCTGGTGTAGCACCCAATGCAATAGTTACTTTAGCCCTGTTCAGGATCTTCTGGCAAGCCATGCATTAAAGAGAGGGAGCAGACAGCAACATGAAAGAGGATAAGAAGCAAATGCCAATGCTCTTGAGGTCAGTAGTGCTGTCCTGACATGGGGTTCACCAGGTGCTTTCCTCTGATATCATTGGCTCTGACTCCAAAGCTGGATCTTATTTGTTGTCATGCAGCTTTTACATGAGAAGTCAAAGTAATATTTTAAGGGCTGCCTAATGGTGATAGGTAAAGGCAAAACCAGCTGTAGGTGAAACTATGGAAGGGCTGCCTCTCTATTTAGCCTACCAGCAGCCAGAAAAGGGACACTGTCTTTGCCAAAAGTCTGAACTTACCATTTTTGAAATTTGGTGAATAAATTATTTGGTCCATGTGCAACACACCTGTTTTAAAGCACAAGCACTCTTTTTAAAAGAAAGAAATCCCTTCATAACTTACAAAGTGCAAACTAATCACAGTTACAAATCCATCTGGTGGTTATGTTGTCTAACTCACATTTTTCTATCTTATCAAGTAGTATAACAAATGCCTTACAAATGCCTACTTTAACAAATGCCTTACTGAAGTCATTACTGAAATTATATCCACAGCATTTCTCTGGTCCACTAATTTTGTCAAAGTATGCATAAGACTTGTCTGGCATGACCAGACAGGGTGGCATGAGATACTATGGGATGGGAAATACAAAGCACACCAATATTTCCAGAAACATTATATTAGACGAGCACTACTAAATGCATGGATTAAAATTAAAAAATCTAATTACATGAAAATACCCAATTGGATTTCAACACTGGAGATTTTTTTGCACCCAAAATTTATGAACCTGGGAAAGGTAATTACATATAAAAACATTCTAGATGAGACCGGAGAATTGAAAACAAGAGGGGAACTATTAGAAAATGGCATAGAGTTGGAATGGTGGGCATACTCGCAAATGCAATCACGATATAGAAAAGATAGAAAAGAACCTGGGATTAAACTAGAATATATAGAACTAGACAAAATTCTGCTAAGAACTGAAGACAAAATGATAAAAAAAGATTTACCAATATTTATTAAAACAAAGTATGCCAGCAGAACAGGTAAAAGATACAATGTTAATTTGGAATAAAAACTTCGGCTATAATATCGAGTTAGATTATTGGCAATTACTATGGGACAGGAATAGGAGATTAACATTAGCTATTACTTACAAAGAAAATTTATACAAGATGTTTTACAGGTGGCACCTTCCCCCTATAAGGCTAGCAAAAATAGACAAAAAATCTTCACCATTATGTTGGAAATGTAGGAAAATACCAGGGACTTACTATCATATGTGGTAGAAATGCTCAGAAGCTCGAATTTTGGCACTTGATAAAGAATTGGTTAGAAGAGATACTATCATTAAAAACTGAAGTAAAACCAGAACTCTTTTTATTAGGGATCAGCAAAGGAGCTTTATATTTAATTCTGCACATTTTAACCGCAGCAAGATTAACATATGCTCAAAATTGGAAAAGAAAAGAACCCCCCCCCCCCGAAGAAGAAATACTAAACAAAATTCTATCCTGTGCGGAAATGGACAGACTGACATTAGAACTCAAAAATAAAACAGAAACAGAGTACTTTGAAATTTGGAATAAAGTGTATAATTGGTTGGATTTAAAGAGGTACCCTGGGACAAAGGCTGATGATTAAGTAGATAACTTAGAAATTCTTGTTTTAATATTTGTTATATCAGACAGAACCAAAAGTTATTTAACTAGGATGTATTTTATTGAAAGAATATGCACTGTGTAACAATGTAATAACTTAATGTAAGGTAATATTAATAGTATCATTTAAACAGGGAAGTTGTATCATGTCCAATGTGTCTTTTTTGTCTTTAATTGTATTATGTTTAATGTGTCTTTTGTGTTTTTTAATTGTATATTCAATAAAATTTTGTAAAAAAAAAAGAGTTGTCTGGCATGATCATTTTTTGACAAACCCATGTTGGCTTCTGGTTATGACTTTGTTTGCCTGTAGGTATTCTCAGATCCGTTGTTTGAAGACAATAACTGTACAATAACAGGAAGAAACTTGTCATGTAGTTCACAATACTGAATGGAAACATTAGCAGGACAAGACTATGTGACCTTAATAATGCCTTCACTTTGTTAGATCCATTTGGTGAGTGTGCAAGAAAGGGACTTTTGCTAGGTTGCTACCAAGCAATATAGTACTATGTTCAGTCCCATTTTTTTCCACTTTCAAGAAAGGAATAATGACTTTTCCTTCAAACCAGAGCTTTTCGATTTGAGCTAAAGTAATTTCAATTTTGATTATTTTTATGCAGCATAAGTGAAGGTGTGCATTTATTATTAGACATCTTGGATACTACATAGTATAGACTGTTTCATATAAATTGTGTAATCAATATGTATAGGCCTTTTGTGTGTACTCTGCCAGGTGCATCTGTATCTGAAACATTTCTAAGTAGCACACAATTAGCCACAGTGTCTTGGAGAAATGCCACATCAGGTACATTGTGGGAAAATAAAGTGGTTGCTGATCAGATCATAGTTATTGTCTCACAAGGGGTTTTCCCAAAAAGACTTACCAGGAGATCCTTCAAATATGAAGTCATTTCCTGGCTAGTTTATAGAGTCTTGTGACTGCATACTAGCCAGCCCTAATCCTGTGGTCAACACTAATTAGCAGAGAGAAAGAGCAAATTCCAAACATACATAGAGGGCATGGGAGTTTCTCTATGACAAGGGATACCTTCAGCTATTGTGAAGTGTCATTAAATTTAAACTGAGATCAAGGATTCATTCTCAGATGCATTAAATGTTATGTATGAATCTTTATATTTATATTGCAGGTCTTCCAAATCTGGATATATTCTGTCTTAAGTCTCATCTCAGCACTATCTCTACTTTGAGAATGTATTAATGTATGAGAATCTTCCATTTAAAGCCTACAGCATTATAGCTGTAATGAGAGGTTGGTGAGGATATGACAATTATCTGCAGATATTACAGAAGATAATATATCTATGTAAAATTGGAGCACAGTTATAAAGCTATAATTTTTCTCCCATGGATGTCCAAAAAGCACATTTAAAATTTACACACTTCTAAAAGGAATTTAACTGTGTGTAAAATGCACATGAGCATCAAGATATTTTGAAGGCTCACAAGTGTATAGAACAATGCTATAATACCATTCTTTGTTATGCTAATAGTTGCTTGCCAGCTGCTTCAAGCTGCCCTGCAATCATAGCCAAAGGCAGCCAACCCATTACATGGGTGGCAGGGGGATGGGGGAGGGAGTCAGAAAGGGCAGCGTTATATTAAATATTCTGCTACTTCTAAAATTGTAGTTCCTCAGCACAGATTCTGATCCTTGCATGCTTTTAGTTTTTGGAATTAAACACTGAAGTAAATCTGGATCTAGAAACACTTGATGGATCCAAGATGGTAATAGCTGCTGCAGATGCTAAAGCCTGGAAACAGCGGAAAATTGTTGGTGGCAAAGGTACCTCCTGCTCTTGAGTATGGTTCATAATTTCCTTACCTCTTCGTTCTATGGCTTTCATGTACATAGTTTTGAGGTTGATTTGGCTCACTTCTCCACTTCATTTTCCCTAGATGTCTTTGCCAGATTCTTCAAGTATATTGATATTTCTAATGCAATGTATTCCTTTTGGAGCTGGGAGAATGAGATATATCAGTAGCCCATTATGCAGTACAATTCTATTCTATTTCATGCTGGCTGGGATACTCTGAGAACTGAAGTCCACACATCTTTAAGCGGCCAAGATTGAGCAACACTATTCTATAGCAGATAGGCAATGAAAGTATTGAGATTTCAATACTGTGTTATCAATAATCAACACAGACTCCTAGAATAGTGGGGCTACTTTTAATATTCCAAATGCATTATTTGGACTGATAAATATGGTTACAAATCTTACCATAGTCTTAAAAGACCATTCATCTAGCTTTGAAGAGTCTGTATTATCTCAACTTGGAAAACAATCTCATTCTGACATCCTTCATGAGCTGCTCCACACTCAATATTTGTAGCTTTTTAGTTCACAAGGGCCAAACCGAGCCTTACATGGTCTTGGATGCATCTCTTACATTCTCAGATTAATCTTGAGCTGGATTAACTTCTTCTGGGCAGACTGCCAGGACAAAATATGTATTAAAATAAAATTGACCTGAGATATTTTGCAACATCGCAAGGGAATCTCTGTGTATCAGAGTCAGACAATGCTTTCCATCTGCTTCAGCAACAGATACGATTTCCTATTTTTATTGAATTAATGACTAGAAATGCCTATATCAAAATTTGCTAATTAAACTCACTGTTGATAATGGCAAGTAAAAATTTCACCTTTTTTAATTCAGGCTACCCCTCATAATTTCTAGTCAGGATAACCGTAATTGTTTTATAATTATCTTTTTATCTTTTGGGATAATTTTACAATTGTATACACTGCATACAATGTTGTATATGATTGTATACAATATTAAGTGCTAATCCATTTCTCCCTAGGATTGTTATTTGTTGAACATGTTGAACATACTGGAGACTTTCCACTTGTATGTTAAGCTCATAATGCTATGTTTGTGTGCATTTGCATGGTGCTTCTATCAAAATATATATTTTAAAAACCGTCTTCATTGTATTGTTTGAGTTATATTTCTTATTCTACAACTATATGCATATTTTATGGTAACAAAGAGACCATAATAACAAAGGAGAGATTCTTTAGTCAGTCACTTTCATGCTTGAAAATCTAGTTGTCTGGAAGTAAAGCTTAGTCATGATGACTGCTAAGTAAGTGAACTCTTGCCAAGGTCAAAATTTGATTGTGCACAGGATTAAGTCCTAATTAGGGTAACTTTTATATGCCAAAAGACAGAATCAGCACTGCTGATTGGTATTACTGTGGTAGACATAGTGTCCTCATCACAGACTAACAGAAATGCAACATGGCATGCAAAATGCTTAATCATTTGTTTATATAAAGGAAAAATGTGGTTATCTATTTTATGAATCATTGTAGATGTTAGAAAATTAATGCCTCACCATCAACTTCCTTCAATCTCTGATATACATGCTATGGTGAAAATCAGTATAGTTCTAATTAACTATGTTTAAAAATTAGCACATTATTTGAGAAGGGGGTATCCTGTTTCATAAGACTGCCAAGCAAACTGTTATATTATGCATTGATATACTGCATACACTTTTATGTCTATGTCTCTGTGTATTTTTTCAACATGATTTATCTCAACATGAACTAGGTTTATATATTACAATAAACCATAAGATATGTTATTGAATAATTATTGACTGAGTTGACACATTATACTAAACTATAAAATATGTTTTACAAAACACAGTTTGTTAGGTTTGCTCAACATGCTAAGCCCAAACTAAAGAAATCACAATATGGCTTAATGTAAACCATGTGTTGAACATTGTTCTTTGACAAGACTTTATTAGAGAGCAGGTTTATGGGTTTTGCCAACCCTCTCCATGATAGAAGTCTCAGTGTAAAAATTAATGAATTTTGTATTAGGAGGGAGGGTTTTACTGGAACACTTTGGTAAGTCTTAAATAGGAACTATTGACAAAACACAGATACACTAAAATAATTTTCCAATTAGAAAAGCAAAACTAACTTCTACTTGCATCCAGGAATGTAGCAGTACTTTTAGAATGTACAGTACAATTAATGTACAAAGTAAAACATCAGATGATATTTGTAATTTAACTAGTTCCAGTTAGGTCATTAAAAGCATGGTAGCCATTTCTGTTTAGCCCTAGTAAGAAGTCATAACAAATTCATAATGTTTTTATTATATTGGGTTTTTTTTATATTCTCTGGCACATTATGAGCTACCCAGAGTCATATGGAGCTGGGCAGCATGAAATTTAAAAAATATTAAAATAAAATAATTTATGGGATATCTTTATCCTACCTTTAATATATTATCTCCTCTAATTTTGTTGAATTTTGTTTAAATTCTTTTATGACAAGAAATTTAGTCTTCTAATTATTATCCTCAGGCATATTATTTAATCAAACAGTATTGTTTTAATTTGTTATCTGTTTAAAAATATGAAAAAAGTAAAAGATGCATACTGGGATCTATTATCATGTATCACAGTAGTTTTTACAACTTGACTGAGTGCCTGCAGTCTTTAAAAAATAAAAATAAAAAACTCCTCTAGTGATATTAAAAAGCATAACTTTTTTCATCTGCTTCATTGCTGAATTGTTTAGATTTTTTTTGAAATTTCTCTTCTTCAGCTATGGGTCAGCAGATATTTTATTATAACTCCTACCAAATTTGATGCTGGCTAATGCTGACTTGGAACTATTTTCCTTAAAATCATCTGGGGATCTAAAACTAGGAAAAGCAGTCTAAGAGAGATTAGGGAAGGTTGTTTGGCTACAATTTACTTGTCATAATTCAAATACTAGTCTCTATGAGAAGAGTGAATAATTATTCCTTTTTTGCTCTTTTAAATATCTACAAAATTAAAATTAGATTCATACATTGTGCTAAGCTATAAACTTATGTGAATGACATTTAGGAATCACACTAGTACTGACCCTTAATCAAACAAACCACATTGTCATTTACCGCAAAGGGTGTAGTTGGAGAGGTCATTATTATTTAATCACGTTGACCAATCCACTGAGTATTAAGAGATTTCAAAGAAAAGTGCCTTTCATTTGTACCCTTTGATGACCTCTCATTTTTTCCCCTAGAAAAAGTCCATTAAGGAAACAAAGACAAAATAGGTAAGTACTAGGAGCTTTTTAGTTGAAAACACCATTTTGTTTCAATTAGTAACAAATTTTCTGGGGTTGTTAACCTAACATAGTCTATTTCTCTTAAAATCAAATCCCCTTGTATTCTATGGCTTAATTGTTCTAGGCAAGTGTTTCTCAACCTTGGCGACCTGAAGATGTGTGGACTTCAACTACCAAAATTCCTCAACTAGCATATTTGCTGGCAATTCTGCAAGTTGAAATCCTTACATCTCCAAGCCGCCAAGATTGAGATATGCTGTTCTAAGCCATTTCAGTGAATCTTTCAATCTCTTAAAGATTTCCAGAGACTACACAAAAATGCTTTCCCATCTTCCATTATTAGGGAGTTTCAACCAACAGATTGTCTCCTAGGAAATCTCTTAATTTAATTCAATACATCTGTATCTCCTCACTAAAACAGACTATAAACATGAGAAATATTTTCCTTAAAACTGAAAACAGGAATTCAGCCTCCTAGTAGCCTAGGGATTCCAAGCCAACTTCAGTTCAGGAGGAAGGGAACAACCTGGCTGGTAAATTTAAAATGGGCACAGCTGACAACATACAATACTCTTACAAATAATGTTTAAATTAGGAAAGCAAAATTAAGTCTGGCTTATATTTAGGAATGTAGCAATTCGTTCAGAATATACAATTCATGTACAAAGCAAAACAATATTACAAAGTGTTCTAGGGAAAAAAGGGCTTTGATGTCTTTAGCTGATCTAACCAATTAAAACTTTATCAGTCACATTTCACTTGCTCAAATATTTGCTTAAATGTTTTCTTGATGTCAAAAAAGGAAAAACATTTTTAAATGAAAATGTTTTATAATTTTAATAAATATATATCAAGAAAAAAAACACTATTACAACATCATCTTAGTATACAAATATCTAAATATCTAAGCTTAAAACATTCAATGTTTGACATATATTGGAAAAGGAAGAACAGATCTTTCTGTTCTCAGCTGAATCTAACACAAGAAAAGTCAACTTTTTAAAAAATTGGTCCATGTGGACAAATGACTAAATGATCCTACTCATACACTGTATGAATGAGACCTATATTTAATATTGATAGCAATAATAAAAATGCTTTTGTCTTGGAGAAAAAAAGGTGGGACAACCTTTTAAAATGTAAATGTCAGCCTTGTAAAAATTCCCATTTTGGCATATATCAATTTTATATTTAATTCTCTATAAGCAGGACCTATGGGCACATGACATATACCTATGACATAGCAATACAGTGGCTACCATGGAAGAATCTTGAATATTCATACATGGGACATTTTATGTGTCATAGTAGCATTAAAAATGTTTGAGTTGACTCAATCAGCTAATCCCTGGGGAATGAATTTAGATATAGGAGACACAGTCTTGCCAAAAGTTAAATTAATACCATCCAAGACTGCTAGCCAGATGGTTAGCTAGTTCCTGTCTCTTCTAAGATGACAAAGTCCTAGAGAAGTCCTGTAAAAAATATCAAAGTTTAAAACATTCTCTATGCATTCTCTATGCATTTCTGTAGTTATTTTGGCTTTTAATCCACCTCCTTGTTGCCACATGTGTAATGAAGAATTAGTAGAAATTGATGGGATCTGGATAAGGAACTCCCTCACCCTGAATCGTAATTATTTGAAGCCTGTGTGGGTTTCTTATTTTTTTTTTTTTCACCCAGTCTTTGAGAAACTGGAAGGGGAAGCAAAGCGGGGGCTGAGAGCTTCCCTGACTCTTTTTTGGAGCAGCTAGGTGGATTCTAAAATTGTCGACATTGCACAGATTCATTTACTCTCATTCCCCTGCTGCTTGCGCATCATAGTATATATCTATTATTGGGGAAAGGGGGTGCATGCTTGTTTATGTCATGAAAACAGACCGCAGGCTCTTGACCAAAATGGCCAGTCACAAAAGTTGGGAATGCTGCTATTACTTTATATCTGTTTTTCTTTCTCTTATGCAAAATAAAAACAGAGGGAAGGGAGATAGAAAAATAAGGAGGAGAAAAAAGAAAATAGAATGGTCCAATGATTCCTCTTTCACTTAAAATTAGTTGGAAATAAAGAGGAAAGCCCATGTGGAGACAAAACTCTTTTCTGCAAGTATCTCTAGTGGCTCCCATTTTTTAATAGGGCAAATTTTATTTTCCCAGTACAAGTAAATGATATGGCTCAATTCATTTGCATATGGAAGAGAGAATCCAATGAGTGTCACAATATGATCTGATCATTACTATGCTGCCCTCCAATACCACATTGAATGCCCCAGCCCTAAAAATCTTTGCATGTCCTCAGTACAGAAAAAAGTTAAAGACAGCCTCATGTTATGTAAATGACGCTGAGGAAAAGTGACCACACAATGCATTGCAGGGCCCTTTCCTCGCTATTGGAGCAGAAATGTTTCCCAGATACCTCATTTGACTGCTTCTTGGTCCTCAGATGTAGAGCCAAGGAAGTTAAGCTCTTCCTGTTGAATCTTGAGCAACTGAGCTCTACTTCAGCAGCCTCCCTCTATATTTGTCAGAATAGCAGAATAGCGCTATGAGATATCTTAGATATCTTAATCAGGGATGTCTGCAGGAAGAAGAAAAAAATCAAGATGGCGACCTTGGCTATGCATTTAACAACACCATCATGACAGCTACTCCTGCCTCCCAAATCCAATCTCTAGCTTCCTTGCTTGCCAGATTCTTATAGGAAAAGCTTGGTTCCTGATGCAGGGACATACTAATAATTATAAATTAGGTTTCTTAGACTCTAAAACTGCTAATTATCTGGCATGGATGCAGTGAACTTAAAGCTATACTTCTAGTGAAAATGAACTCTCAGGTTTTCTCTTTGGATATTTAGAGTGCTCTTTCTATAGTTGTAAAAAGGTTAAGCAAGTATTTTAGACAGATAGTGTGTCTTAAGAAAAAAAAAACATATTGAAGTCACCCTACTAGAAAATGTTACTTCTTATCCAATCAAATATGTAGTTGCTTCAGGTTTTGTGTGTGTGTATGTATGTTGTATTATACACAGCTTATTGGCCAAATTGATTGGATTTATACAACACGAAGCTCAGTTGGTCTAACACAACGTTCTAAGTCCAAAACTAACTATATTATGGTTTACTGTAGTTTGAACCTACACTCTGCATATCATGTTGATGAAGGGATTAGAAAGAAGCTATACACTTAGCATCAGTTAATAATAGCAGTTTAGCTAATTTCTAGTGTTAAAAAGTACATATTTCATATCCCAGTATTTGCAATTTAAATTGCTTCCATATCAGAAGCTGAATGAAGGGAAGAAAACTATTTTAACCCTGTATTATCTACCCTGACTCACAGTAATTTTCTGGCAAAAGACTTTTTTTTAATGTATCACCTCATATCTTAAAAAAAAATGTAAGGAATGAATCTAAGATTTCTCTATGCAAAGCATATTCTATAAGGAAGCAATAATCCATTCAAGAATTCATGTTTTTCATAATTGCATCAAAGATGTTCACACAGAATAACAAGAATTATAATTTCTAGGGTAAGGCCTAGGAACTGAACATTATTTTATAATTGTTTGAATAATTCACGTAGCTATAGAGAAAAATGTAAATAGTTTTAAGAGGGTTAAATGTTTTTAAATTAATTCTACTAAAGCATAAGTTGGATCCAAATGAAAGGTTTTCATTCATTTCTGCAAAAAAAAAAGGGGGGGGGCATGATGCAGCAATAATGAACTACTTTTCTGAAATTATGATTGCTCCTAATTCAGCCAGACCTTTAAATGGTGTCATGTAATAATGATTATTCCCATTTATTGATTCCTTCAACTATAAAAATATATTTAAATGGAACAAAATTAATTGTGTGTTTTATCTGGAATTAAAGATCTTGAATTTTAGACAGAATATTTTAAAATGAAAAATTCCAGAAACAATCCAAATATAATCCTAATAATTGAAGATTATCCCCCTCTTTCTCCAAGATAATTTTTAAAAAAAGATTGAAACTCTTACATTCATTTCAGATAAAAATCTTATATCACCACATCATTTATTAACATTGTGCTTTTTTCCAAAATAAAAAACCCTACAATTATATGAAAACCCAGTACATGCTCTTTACATTTTTCTGAAAAGAGAAAATGACATGAAACAGAGTAAAATATAAAGCATGCCATTGGTTCATGAACTTCATTATACTAGAAAGAAAAAGGGGAAAAAATATCAAAGCAACCAACAGTTGCCATAGAAATATTCAAAGAGCTAATGCTTGTTTACAAGAGACACATCTCTATTGTTTTTTTTCCTTCAATCCTTTCTTTAAAATGGCAAATCAAAAAGCGATTGAGCAAAAAGAATGAATAGCGGCAGTTGAATAGGAAATCAAGCTTTGTATTTCAAAGGAGACAGAATTCTAATAATATTTGATCCACCCTGTTATTATTTTTTCCTGTTTAGGTTACATCCCTGCTGTAGCTGTTTTCTTAAACTTAATTTTCACTCTGGAAAAATTAAGATTAAAAGTAAGGCACCAAAAAATCTCTACCATTATAGCAATAAACCACTATAAGGCTTGTTCATTCTTGTAGCTTAGCTGAAAACTGTGCATGTGCTGGAACTGTATGTAGCATTTCAAATTAAGTCTCCATAAAAAGGGGGCATTGTACCCTATCAATAAAACCAGACTTAAATACATTAGAATAATGTCACTTATGGACCATAAAGTGGGCCTATTCCATTTTATTTCTATGCAGTCTTTTTCAAAGCCATTTTGATTGGCAAAATGTATTCTTCCTTGCGCTGGTAACAATCTGCTTATCAAATGTATAATTAATTGATAAGCATAAAGAAGATTCCTCTTAATTCATGCTAAGTTCCCAAAGGGATACATGAAAGGAATTGTGTTTTTTCCATCTGGTTTATTGGTTCTTCTAGCAATGGAAGTATACAGTGCAACTGTGCTCTTTATCAGGATCCCATGTATTTATAAATAGCTCATGATGCAGACCATACATACGCTTTGATAGAATCTGCTCCACAGTCACTGAAAGTATCCATGAAGCTTATGACACAATTGTACCAGTTCTATGAAAGCATAAGAAAATTGATCCAAACTGATTTTTTTCTGATAATGTCAACACTGTGCTTGCTTCTAAACTGAAATTATTCAGAAGATGGCTCATATTTTATTTCCTTTACTGCAACAAATTTTGCTACCTGGTAAACACTCCTTTTTTCGTAAACACTTCTTCCAAGATTCATTCATGTTGCTCTTGTCATCGTGACCCATCTCAAAATAATTGTAATATTTGTTTTTACATTCTATGGCATGATCACTTTTCAAAGAATCCCAGTCTGAAGCATGTTCTCCATCCATATCTTGGCCTCCTTTCTCATTACTGAATATTGACTTGTCCTGATTACCATGTGGCCCAGCATTTGTAATGAAAATTTCATTGGCATGTATATGTTCGTCACTCCTATAAACTGGGGAACTGTTGCTACCATATTCCACTTGTTGGGAACAACTTGGTAAAGACACAGAAGCACTGGAATTCCCCACTGCAGAATTAGTAGATAATGGTAGACTTAAATAATGGCTGCCACATTCTTGATAAAAACAGCATGTGTGGATCTTTTCACAGTCCTCCCGTGCCATCCGAAGACGCTTCCTATAAGGGCAGTCATGAGACATGAACCACTCTTGACTTGAAGTACCTCCAAAAGAGCAAGTAGGAAAACACCAGTTGTTTTGCATGATAATCTCTCCATGAATTCTTTTCATTAAATTATTTATGAGAACTGATCTCCTTAGGTAGACTTCAGGGTCATCAATGTACTTCAGTTTTTCCAAAGACATGTACAGAATATGTGCCCGCTCCTCAAATACAGAGATTGTCTAAAATGAACGAGAGAGAGGAAATAATAATAAAAAATGAATGCAGTATTAATTAATTGAATCATGCCACTAAGATTTTATCCATCCATGCATCATATAATATTTGGGCAGCTGACTCTCTTTTGCCCAGGAGAGTTAGATCATCTTTTATCTTTATTTTCTATTCATTTTATTCCAATTTCTTTGATCGCTGTGAGATGCCCAGAATCAGACCTGCCCTATTAAAGAGGCAGCATGCAAGTTTAATCAATTCCTGTATTATTATGGTTAAGTGGTTCCATTGTTGTTTACTGTCATTATTATTCAACTGTCACAAATCTCATCAAGAGCTGTGAGGCTTAATGTTGAGTATATTCAACCTTATCACCATAGTAAGACTTCCTAAATCAAGGAAACTGAATTTAGCTAGCAACTGAAAGAAACCACAGTGCTTGAATGTTTAGTAATTCATTACCAATGTATCTTTGAAAAGTTCTTTTAACAGAAATGTGCCACTAAATAAAACAATATGTGAAAAAGAACAATAATTTTAGGAAGAACAGCTTTCTCCTGGAGGTCTGGCTGGCAGCAAATCTGATGTCCTTCCATAAAACTTTCAAGATGGAGCTGTTACACAGGACAGTTGAAGTTTGATATTATTTTACTGACTATAACAGAGCCCTAGTTGTTTATTGATACTTTGTGCTATGTCTTGATGGTGGGTTTAATTTATACTTGTTTTAATTTATGCTGTAAAATGTTGTCATATCAGATACAGCAGTATATACATTTAATAAATAAATAAATAAACTATTAGTAGGTTTGGTACTCAATCTACTAATAATTACCTATTGTAATTTTAGAAAAGCAACAAAAATAACAGATTATAAGGAAACAGGATTAACTAAAAACATGTACATGCACACATTCTAATCCACATGTTTCTATATTTAAAAAAATCTCATAAAATTTCAACTTCAGGTAAAGTAATTTTAAAAAGAATTACTAGTGCACTTCAAAACCTGATTCAATTGAAATTACTATGCTTATAGTTACAAACTGATAAATATCTGGTAGGCTGTTTCATGTTTGCTGTAAAACTATCTACTGGTCTCTGTCTAGTTCTCATAGGAATTCTTTCTATTTTACAAAAAAAAAATCACTATTACTTTTAGCAACCTTACTTAACAAAAAAGTCATGGTCTAAATCAGTGGTGGCAAACCTATGGCACGAGCCCTCTCTGTGGGCACGTGCGCCATCGCCCCAGTCCTAGGTCTTCAGCTGGGTTTTATAAAACCTTGTCACTTTAGGCCTCCACCGCCATGTGCAAAAAAAAAAAAGGTTTTTTTTTTTCAACTTCAATTTCAACTTCTCGCGGGAAAAAAAAGATTTTGCAAAGTTGGAATTGATTGATTGAACTTTTTAGTCCCACCCAGTCTGCCATTACCACCGCAGCCACGCTCACCCAATTGGCCACACCCAGCCAATGGGCCACACCCACCCGGCACTCGACGATGCATAAGTGGGTTTTGGGTTGCAGTTTGGGCACTCAGTCTCTTAAAGATTCACCATCATTGGTCTAAATCACAGGTCGGCAACCTGCAGCTCCAGAGCCTCATGTGGCTTGTTGAGCCTTTCCCTGTGGCTCCCAGCCTCCTCTGCCATTTGCAGAGAGAGACAGAGACAGAGAGAGGCACTTGCACTTACCTGCTTCTCTCTCTCTCTCTCTCTCTCTCTCTCTCTCTCTCTCTCTCTCTGTGTGTGTGTGTGTGTGTGTGTGTGTGTGTGTGTGTGTAAAAGAGAGTGGATTCACGGTGTTCTCTGACAAGCTGGAAAGCTTTGGGAGCAGGGCTCCTCCCTTTGCTGCGTCTCTGCATGAAGCAGGAAGGACAGGAGAGAGCTAGCTAGCCCAGCTATGCTGACTCAGGAATTCTGACAGTTGAAGTCCATGAGTCATAAAAGAGCCGAGGTTGCCTACCCCTAAGCTTGTTGAAAAACAGCTTGAAGCCAGCTTGCCAGGTGAGCAGAAGATCGGAGAGAAGGAGAGAGAGGGGGGAGAGAAAGAGAGGGGGGGGTGGAAGAGGATTGGCAGACCAAGGGCAGAAAAAGAGAGAAGAAGGGAGGGAGAGAGAGAGAGGGAGAGAGAGACAGAGAGAGAGACCCTTTTGACATCTAAAATGAATAATAAAGGTAAAAAAGGATATATGCAGTGTTATCTTCATTTTAGATATCAAAAGGGTTTTGCAGCTCCCAGTGTTTTGTTTTCGGTGGGAACCGGGTCCAAGTGGCTCTTTGAGTGTTTTGGATTGCCTACACCTGGTCTAAATGAACCATGAATTCCAACATTCCTTGGTAAATGAATTTTGAATTTCCAGATGTCCAGGCAATATAACAATTTTGCAATGTTCTCTTTATCTATATTATTACAGGCTGGAAAGAGAAAAAAATCAGTCCCAAGGATTTTTAAATTGGTATCCAATTTCATAATGAGATACTTATGAGAAGAATAAAGAGATAATGGAGAATAGAACAGGTGAGAATCTGTACAGCTATGCAGTAAAATGCTGTTGTACTAGAGTGCTGTTCTGGGGAAGCAATCTCAATCTCTCTCTCTCTCTCTCTCTCTCTCTCTCTCTCTCTCTCTCCCTCCCTCCCTCCCTCCCTCCCTCCCTCTCTCCCTCCCATGTATGGGTTAGTTCTCTCTTGAATATTAAAATTTTCAGTCCAGAAACATGCTCTGTATCACTGATTCCTAAGCAAAGCCATAAAACAAAGCTTCCTCTTTGCAGAAATTCTGTGTTTGTTTTAAATTAGCATCTATACACAATTAACACAATGATAGTAATTTTCCTACCTATCCCAATAAAGAAAATCAGGTAAATAGAAACAAATTTTAATGTCACTGTAGTTTTTTTTAATCGCATACACCCCCTCCACCATACAGAGTTAAGTATAAAGGAACTGTGCTATTGATGTTGTTGCTATACATTCATTGTTGCTGTTATGATTGCCATCGTCATTATTAACATGGATGCTGAATATCTGAATGGAAGAAATCTCAGAAGGGTTTTTTATCACCTTTTTCCACTGCATCCCTCACACCCTTTGGGAAGGCTATGGAACTTCCTCAAGCAACACAGGATGCTGGCTGTGGAATTCTGAGAATTGGAAGTCCACAAGTCTTAAAGTTTCCAAGGTCAGACATCCCTGGTTTATATGATCACAGGGCCAGATTCTTATTTGTCATTCAATGAAAACTTTTATACAATGCTTGTTTACTTTAAAAGCAATGTGCCCCTTGCTCAAGTCTCAATGTGGTTAACTACATCAAACCAAAACTGCACAATTTACTGCTATATTACATCAAGACTGCCATTTATGATCTGAGCCTTAACTACATTTTTCCCTCACTTTTTATATGTTTATTTTACCTACATGAGTTTTTCAGATATTGGCAGGTTGTACTTGAAGTTTGGACTTTATTCCCTGTGGCTACTCATCACTCTAGCAAAGGTTTTTTGAGCAAGTTAAACATAACCATACTATTAATTAAGCTCTCCTGTCATTCTCATAACTTCATAAAAATATTAGTGCCTCTAGTTTAACATGATAGAGAGAAAACAGGCTGATGGATATTATTTTGTAAAGGTTTAATGAACTGGCCTTATTGTATTGCGATTTAAATTGGCTCATCAGGTTCATAAGACAGAACCTTTGTATCTTCATCTCCATATAACAGAAAGCTATATGTTCTATCTCTTTCCCTTATTATGAGCAAAAAATAATATCTGAATTAGAAGATCTTAGATTTATAAAATAACACAAATTCATATAGAACGCTCAGGTTTGGCTAGTTCTTTAGAATAGGCCAGACAACTTGGCCTAGAAGTTAGCTTTTATTTTATTACTAAAAGACAGTAAATTGCCATTTTTTCAAATTATTATTAGATGTCTATAATTAGATTGCTTGCTTCAAATTTTATATCTTAATCAAAATACCTAATTCTTGCTTGCCTAGCTTGAAAATAATCACAGCTAGCAAAAGATACTGACTGCATTTATATGTCACATGAAAGAAGATAGGGTATAGTAAACTAACATTGGAACGACAGATGTGTCAATTATAAACTCTGATTTGAGAATCCCAAACAAACCTAGAATGGGATCCAAGAACAACCCATGATTTCCAGCTCTGGCCCATATATCATAGTAAACATATCACGGAAAGAGCATCTTTGGTTTGTTTAGCCATTTCTGGGGCAAGAAGAATCATCTGCATATTTTTTTGTTCATGATACACCAGGACCCTTCCAGGTTCTGGCTTTCTATAACATAGAAACATAGCAAGTATTATTGGTCATCTCTAACTGCTCTCTGATGCCTGCTTCCTCCCGTGTACATCTTGCTCTCTTCCTTGCCATCTTTGTTAAGGTTTAAGTTAATTTTAGTGTTAATATTTATTATTTTAATGCTGTAATAGTTTGTCTTGTTGCTTTTATTGATTGTACGCTGCTTAGAGTTTCCTCTAGGTGAGATGGACATCAGGTAAGTTTAATAAATAAATAAGTTTACATGCAATGGAAGGTGAGTTCAATATTTTGAGTGAGAAGGATTCTATACTCAACAAACCATAGACCATTTGCTCAATGGTCATTTATGAACAGCAGAGGGAAAAATTACATTCTCACGATGCCAAGGCACTATTAATTTCTGAGTTATACAAAAAGAATTTCACAGTCTAAATTTTCTTCACTAAAACAAAATTGATAGCAATAAAGAAAATAAAAGAATCAACCAGTTCATATTAACAGATTACAAGTTTAGAAAAAGCAGACATACTTTTTTTTTTACAAATACATATTACTATTTATGGAAACTGAAATGCATTGCACTCAAGCAAATAGAAGTTATACAACTTCAAATCAGAAACTCAGAAGTAATAGCTTTTTGAAACTTACTTTGGGTGTACAGTTACTGAGTGGTGGATGAAAATCTTCTTCTTCCACATACTTTCTTTTAAAATATGTGATCTTAGATGGTGCTATAGGGTTTGGATTTCCTCTGTGGTGTAGTGCTGTGGGAAACAGATTACATATGGTGTAAACTGTATCTGACAGGTACAAAAGACCAATAAAGGAGAATGTTGCTCAGAGTTGAAATGAGGGATCCTTGGTGTTCTCTGAGCTTGGTTGTTTTCTTCCAGATGTTTCATTACCCAAACTAGATTACATCATGAGTGCAAAAAATACAAAAAAAAAATATTCCAGCTTGTCTTTACTGCTTTGGACATATATGAATACTTGTGTGCTCCAAACAGGAATCTGTCTGTCTGTCTGTCTGTCTGTCTATCCAGGGCTTTTTTTGTCATAGACCGCCCAGAACGGAGTTCCGGCACCTTTTTTGAATGGAACTTTGTAGGGTAGGCAAGGTGGGTTGTATGATGGGTGTGAGTTCCGGCACTTTTTTTTAAACAAAAAAAGCTCTGTATCTATCTGTCTGTCTGTCTGTCTGTCTGTCTATCTATCTATCTATCTATCTATCTATCTATCTATCTATCTATCTATCAACAGTTTACGTGAAAAATAAACTGAGCCAGTGGAAGGTTTTCCAAAAGATTTCTAAGAAAGAAATCTGTTTATTTAAGCATAGTTGTCACAACAGTTTAAACATTCTTTACATGCTGGACTTTAAGAAAGTTTTATCCTACACGTCCAACCCATCTGAAAAAATATCTGCAGATTTCATCACTGAACTCTTTTTTAGAATTAGCACGTATGCCATCTTAAAAAGACTAATAAAATTTAATACATTGCTAGTAAACAGAAGCTCCTTACAGTCTTCAAGATTGATTTAACCAGAAATGCTTTAACCAGTATTTAACCAGAAATACCAATTCTATGGAAGCCAAAAGTCATAGAGTTTCTCTGTGGAAGGGAAACTCCCACTTCATAAAACCTGATGAGCTTGAGGCAGCCAGGGAAGAAAGATAAGGTGGTGGCTTGTAACTCTCCCACTTTTTAGAAATATCTCCTCCCATTGGTTTTTGGATGCTATCATATCACACCAAAGCTATCATATCTTTTTTGTGACCTAAAACCTCTATTTGGTCTAGATCCCACCTTATTTGGTCCTTGAAAGCACCAGAATAGCAGATTTTCCTCACCAAATTCTGCAGCCAACTTCCATCTCCACAAGCAGCCTTCCCTTGTATCACAAAGGGTACGGCACAGTATTTTATGCTCCCGCCCACCCCAAAAGCATTTTAAATGAGATACTGCCAGTAGAACCTGATTTCTCATTGGCCAACCTTCTAATAAATAATTTCCCCTGAAATGTGAGTAGACAAATGGAAGATGCCACTATTACTGTCTTAAGTGCATACATTTTTTTTATTTTTCCAAATTTTTATCTTTTTCACAACAACTCTCTTATTACAGAAGGTAAAGTAGATTTGTATGGTCCCTTCTGAAAAGAAAGAACAATGTCCTTATGGGTAGATAAATCTTATTTGTAATTTGTGTATCGAATATGCATAATTTGTTCTAAACCAATTTGAAATGTTCTTTAAATTCAATATAAAGGAAGTGATTTGGAACAGGTAACCAAAACGTAATTACTCTGAACTCTTTAGAGACCGATGGATACCATAATTTAGTCTGGGCCATGGTATTTCAATCAGACAGCATGCTACCACAGAGAGTAAAATTTTAATTATTGCTAGCATTTAATATGGGCACCTGTTTGGGAATCATTGCATTTTTTTCCCTATGCTATTTTAAACTTGAAATAAAAGCTATACAAATGAAGTGGGCACAAACTTCATTTTCAAAGAGAGTACTGAGGGACTTAACCCCATTGCCGTTTTTGATGCTAACTATCAAAATTGGAATAAGTCATATATAATTATTTATGTCTAAAATATTGTTTTGGCAACTAAAAATGTTTGTAGTACAACAAAGAAAATATGAAAACATTTAAACCATCACTAACATTGGGGGGAGGGGGACTGCCTCATAGATCACTATCCAGTTTGTTTACACTTTTATTAATATGGATTTTTAATTTCAGCCTTCTTTCCTAGAGGTCTTTTGTAACATGCATTTAAAATCATGCTTCTAAAGCCAAATTCGATATAAGGCATCTTTAAGCATGTGTAGAATCATAAAACAATTATAGTATGCTCAGATATAATTGAAATTAGAGGTAAGAAAGAACTTGTGAGGCCTTCAATTCACTTAAGCTCAGGATGGGAAATCTGCATCTAGGTGACTGCATGCACTCCATGGTCTAATTTAATGTGCAGAAATAGAAAGCAAGAGAACTATGCAAACTTGCAAGGCAGAAAGCTCTAATTTTGGCACCGGGTTCATGTACCAGCAGCTCTCACTTCATTCGTCATCCCTTGAAGCAGCCTCCCCCAGTGACTCTCCTCATGGGTCAATGGCCTTTTATAGAAAGAGGCTTTTCTACACATACATCTGACCCATAGTCAAGTGATCAGGAATAAATCATTATAAGCTTCAGCTTTGTCTGTTTTCCTCCTTATTGTAAAGGAATATGAAAGGTTCTGCTTTTACTGTAGTGCAAAACAATGCATGTTACATTCAAACTTGAGCAAATAGTATTCATTTAAATTAAAGTTAATTGATTCACGTGGATGTGAAACCACTTGGCTCCAGTTTGTTTTGAATAACTTTGGTTAAAGAAGATTTCAGTTCAGTAAATTCCAATCTAACACAAAGCTAAGGATTGCTCTATAAACTATTTCATTTTTCTTCTCTCAAACACAAAGCAGTGAAGGGAGAAACACTCTCCTAAACCATCACATTGAGATCAGTTCAAAATTCCCTCTGGAAGGAAGTCAACACCTCATCCCTAAAGATCCCAGGATTTATCCTAAATCCAGACATGGAATGGGGCTAGCTGTGGGATCTCAGTGGGGTGTAATATATATTTAAGTACAGAAAAAATATTCTTAAATCAGGATGATTTAGCAGTCTTGTCCATATTTCAGCTTATAGTGGGAGCTTTTGCCATTAAATATACAGCCATACAAAACTAAAATAGTTCAAAATAGAAAAAATGAAGATGTGGTATAAATCTGCTCTAGTTCTGTGGCTTTGGTTTGATTTTGGAACAAAAATGTCCACCTTTTATGGAGTATCATACAAGGATCTGCACCAGACAGTCTAATGTGACACAATCCACGCATAATTTTATCATATCATCCTCAGTTTATAAGGTTTAACCTCAAAAGACACCCCCCCTTTCCACTTCTTCTCTAAACTCTTTCTTTAAATATAGGTATGTCACGTAAATTCCAAAGATCATCTGCACCAGTCACATAGCGGAGAATAAGTTGGAAAATGCTCTCATTTTAAAAAACTGACTACTACCAAGCATCTGATTAGAAGTTGAGTTTGCTTAGGAGTTAGACCCTACTCATATTTTTTTCACTGGTGCTCAGAAAAATCTAACAATGAAGAAAGGACCTTTGAGAAACTTATAAAAAGTGTTTTTTTTTAAAAAAAATCAAACTATTACTCTTGAATGGAGTAAGACAAAGGATGTTAGAGAGACAATCCATTGACAGGAGAACCAGCAAAGGAAGCTTTTGCCTGCACTAAATCTAATTTAGTTAGAACAATTAATCAGTGGAACAACCTGCCTACAGAAGTTGTGAATGCTCCAACACTGGAAGTTTTTAAGAAGAACTGGACAGCCATTTGTCTGAAATGGTATAAGGTTTCCTGCCTGAGCAGGGGGTTGGACTTGATGACCTCCAAGGTCCCTTCCAACATCATCAATAATAACAACAACAACTATTATTATTGTTGTTGTTATTGTTATTATTATTACTATTGCTATTATTATTCATCACAAGTCACAATCATTGCCATACCAAATACACAAACACACAGATTGGCCCCCTTTTGCTTTTGGAACATGGAAAACAAAGCAGCCAACGAGAACAGAGATCACCCTCCAATGTTAGCTACTCACATAGCAACCAAAGGATCAGTTAAAGTAAAAGCTTCTGCATGAAAAGCATTAACTTTGACCTTAGAGGGATTTTCTATAGAGCAGTTTATCCTAATATATCTCTTTTTGGCTCATCAGTCCCCCTGCCTTTCACATCATACAATGTTAACTGCATGAAATGCCCATGTTTGGACAAAGCTCTCCTCTGAGTACCAGAAACGGGACGGGGGGGGGGAAGCAACAGCCAAACTGAAGGGTTCTTGCCTCTTGCTCTGCTGGTGAAATGCCCCTTAGTGGAAAGCTGACTTACTCACCCGCTTTATGATCCTGAACCAGAAAGATTTTGAATCAGTTCAGGCCTGTCCTAAATCTCAAGTAATAATCCGGAGCTAAATAAAAGTCCCAATCTAAATCTCACAAATTGGTTGTGGAGAGAAATGAAAGCAGAACCTAGCAACAGCCACCGAGTCCAGTATGCTGGAGCGCTTAAGATGTTGGACTCGGACTTGTTCCCACGTTCCTTCCATCATGGAAGCTTCCTGGCGGATTTCTGGCCAGTCAGTCCTTGAGCACCAACTATCTCCCAAGACGGTTGGGAGGAAAACGGGGAGGGAGTAATTCTAGACTCGCTGCATTGCGCTCCAGGAGAACCCGGGGAGGAGAGCGAGCTGGTCCGTAGCGTTACCTGAGGGCGGAGGCTGCCCAACCGGTGTCCGGCCGTCGCTGCCCTGCGGCGGCGGCGGCTGATGTTGCGCCTGCCCCTGGGCGGTGCTGCTGCTGCTGCTGCTGCTGCTGCTGCTGCTGCTGCTGGCGGCGGCATCCGAGGCGGGGCTGCTCTTACTGCAACAGTGCGCTTCCCACAGCGGCTGGAACTCGCCGGCTCCTTCGGAAGAAACAATGGGCTCGCAGAAGCTGCTCAGGGGCAGCACCAGAGTCATCGCGGCGCCTCCGATCTGCAAACGGAGACAAAGAGAGCGCGGCCGGTCAGGTCGGGCAGCCGCCGCCTTTCCTACCTCCCCCCGCCACGCGCCCGCGAAGCTCGCCCTGCCCTGGCGTACCCTCATCCGGCCATTGCGTGCCTGCGCTCTGCAGTCAACCTGGCATTTGGTATCTCCGCCGAGCCCTTGGCCTTCTCCTACGGCCCCGAGGGGCCGGTGCCTCCCGCTCTCGCTTGCCTTCTGCACCCGTTGCCCTCTCTCACCCTCTCGGCGCCGATTGCCTCAGTCAGTTCGCGCAGCTGGCTCAGAACGTCTCCGTCGGTTCCGATTTTCCCTTCAGCACCCTGTAGGTCACCTATTGCTTAAATGGGGGGGGGACGATCCGAGAACTCAGTCACCCGTTCCTCCGCGATTCGTGTAGAAGCAAGCGCCGCTGATCCCAGGGTCTTGTCTTATTTCCAGCCAAATGGTTAAGGATCGCAGCCCTTCCCCAAGAAAGGCAACCCTTTCTCCCCGTTCACTGACCGCCTGCCCAAAAGCCCTTGGCTGCCGCTCGCGATTCTTAATTCAGATTTCCTCTACCGAGAAAGAAAGAAAGAAAGAAAGAAAGAAAGAAAGAAAGAAAGAAAGAAAGAAAGAAAGAAAGAAAGAAAGAAAGAAAGAAAGAAAGAAAGAAAGAAAGAAAGAAAGAAAGAAATCTGAGCGATACCCAACTGCAGAGGAATCACTTTATTCTCTACAGATACAGCGATCCCAGAGACGGCATTGTATATTTGTCTTTTACGTGTGGCTGGTTGGTTGGCCTGCCTCTCTCTCTCTCTCTCTCTCTCTCTCTCTCTCTCTCTCTCTCTCTCTCTCTCTCTCTCTCTCTCTCTCTCTCCCCTTTCTTCCTTCTTCTTTCCCACCCCAAGCGAAACAGAGCGAGACTCTTAGGTAGTTGTTTCCACCAGCTCCGATTGGGTTGAACTGGATCTGCCTCCAGTCAAAACACTGAGATTAAGACAGAAAATTGGCTCTGGTTTCAAGCGGTGAGTTGCAATCCCACAGGAGCCAAGCACAACATCAGTGGAGCAAGCAGAATATTAAACAGGAGCAAAGATTCCGGGGCCAGAGCCAGGCAGTAAGCCATCTATCCAATCCCATGGCAAGAGAAGGAAAGGGAGAGGGAGAGGGAGAATTTCTGAGAAAGAGAGGCAACCCACATTACAATGTGCTTTCTACAATAACGCATATACTCCTTGGCACACAAGCCAGATGTCTCCTCAGCTCTATGCCCTCTCTTCGAGAAACAAGAATAATTCTGTTTTCCATCCTGAATATTTTGAAGAGATTTGATGATTGCCAAAAGGCAAGTTTTCTCCAAAGTAAGAGTGCAGGGGTGCTGGTAATAAAGAATCAAAAGCTGATATTGTGTTAAGAATTATAATCTGTCTGGCAAAATTAATAAGGAAAGTTAAAGGTGGATTCAAAGAACGGATGAGTTGGCAGGGCTTGTTTAAATCATTTAGTCCAATCTTCAGTTTCAACAGAAAAGAGATCTGCCCCTCTTAAATAGGATAGCCTTTTAGATATCTCTAGACCCCTACCATATCTCTTCCTAATAAGAACTTTGGCAAATTAGACACCCCTGAATCTTTTAACTTTTCCTCATAAAGCTTGGCTTCTAATCTTTTTTCATCCTGACAAATGTTCTTTGAATATATTCTAACTGGTCTACATCTCTATTAAGGCGTGATTCCAAAACCTGGGTACAGTACTCCCAAATATAGTCTAATCAGCTTAATTGCAACAAAAATACTACTTTCTGCTATCTAGAAACAATACTTCTGTTAATTCAACCCCAAAACTGCTTTGGGCCTTTTAACTGTTGCATCCTCTTTGATCCTGTAATGGTCAAAGAGCCGGTTTGATGCAGTGATTAAAGGCATCAGGCTAGAAATCAGGAGTCTGTGAGTTCTAGTCCCACCTTAGGCATGAAATCAGCTGAACTACCTTGGGCCAGTCACTCTCTCTCAGCCCTAGGAAGCAGGCAATGGCAAACCACTTTTGAAATTTTGCCTACTGAGCTCATTTTAAATTGTAATTTTGTATTCTAAGTTAGTAGCCAGTCTCTCTAATTTGGTGTCATGTGTATATTAAACTACAACTTCCCTCCCTTTCTTTTTAAGTTATTTATAAAGTTGTTAAATATCATTTATATGATGATGGAATCCCATGGACTCCACTTGATAGGTTTCTTCCAGAGCAGTGAAGTAATAGCACCCCTTGGGTGTGGTTGTTCAACAAATTGAAAATATACTGGACCAAATTTCTTTTATTCCACATTTATCCATTTTATCCACAGGGATATCATACCTGAACTTGTCAAATACTGTACTAAAATCAAAATATCTACAGCATTCACTTAATATGAAAGAAAATATAACTGATATGGCTTGATCTTCACAAACCCACGCTGGCCCCTAGTGATAGTGTTACTGTTTCCCAAGAATTCACAGAAATATGGCTTCACAATTTATTCTAGGACAGCCATTAAACAAATAGCTCTTTAATTTCCCCAAACCTCATCCCTTTTAAATATTGGAGCTATGTTTGCCCTTATATTAGTTCCTTGAAGATAACAATCATTTCTTCTGAAGTAAATTCTGCCAGCTCCTTCAACATGCTACAACATAATTTGCCTGGTCCTGGAAACTTCAATTCATTTAAGATAGCAAGTTGAGTTCTTTGTAGACTTTATCAACCTGGAGCTCCATATGTCCCTTGAGGAAGTGCTTTCACCCTCTTCTAAGAAAGACTAAGAATGACTATTACAAATGAGGGGCATTCCAGATTCCCTCTGGATAGTGTTTAAATGCCTGCAGACCATCTTGCCATTTCAGTCAACAATCAAAAGAGGCTACACTTACACTTGTGCATAGGATGACTATAGTCTGATTCACTGGCTAATGTGTGTCTATCTCTTTTAATTGCCAAAAATGAATGATTAAAGTTACCTCAATGCATATTTTACAGGTCAAAGGAAGCTAGCAGAATGAATTCAAATTAAATGATTCAAAGTAAATAATTATGTCATTTACACAATGTCCCATCATTTTCATATCGCCGTGGCTGTGACCAAGATCCACTCAATTTTAGGAAATTGTTGATTCCGGCAAACCTGAATCTACACCCCAAATTTCTTATAAATATTATACCTGATATATTGTGGGAAGGATACTATCTTTACTGCACTTGTTTGAATAATGGGATATTTCTGTTATTTTGTTGCTGTATCCTTGATTACAGAAAACCAATCTTCTCCTTGAGAACTTAGACTAAATTTCCATAATAGAGGAGCATTTGGGGACTTCCATACTAATGATTATAGGGTTAGCAAGCCAAAAACTTACAATATAAAACCCATCCATACTATCTTTGGGGCTGCACAAACTGCCAGTGCTGCTGCACTCTGCACCAGCTATAGCTTTTGAACAGTCTTCAAGGGTAACCCCATGTAAGTGTGTTGTAATAGTCCAACCACAAGATGACTAGGGCTTGAATGACTGAGTACAGGGACTCCTGATCTAGGAGAGGCTACAACTGGCACACAACCTGAAGTTGCACAAAGGCTTTCCCAGCCATTACTTCCACTTGGTCTTCAAGCAGGAGTCATGTGTCCAGGAGAACCCCCAAGTTGTAGATTGGATCTGCCTGAGTTACTACCACCCCATTGAGCATTACAGATATCAAAATCCCGGATCTTGGAAATCCATGCACCTAAAGCCAATCAGTCTTGCCAGGGTTCAGTCAAATTCTGTTGTCCCCCATTTATCCCCACAGCCTCCAGACACCACAAGACAGCAGCAACAGTATCACATGGATGATCAGGGGTGGAAATATAGAGTTGGGTATCATCAGCCTATTGCAGATACTTCAACCCAGTGACAGATGATCTCACCCAGTGCTATTATCTGGTAGTATTAACATAGATATAACAATTATTCAGTAATGTAACTATACTATACAGAGATTGTTGCTTTGTTAAGGCCAGCAAAGTGTATGAGCTATCTTACATAACTTTTCAGCTACAAAATGCCACAAGGTTCAGTTATACTTTTTTGTTTTTCTTTACATATCTATTCTTATCCAGCTATCCACTTCTGGAGGCCTCCCATTTTGTTACTATTTTCCTTCCCCATCATTCAGTTTCATATTCTATGGACTATTGGGGAAAGGTCTTTCCCACCTCCTCAATTTTTATTCTGAAATATTTTTTGCATATTTGTAAGCTTCAAGTTATACTATACCTCTGCTGATAACTGTTTGCAAATTTTTGTCTTGACTTCAGTGGTATTGAAGCCTAGATGAAATATGAATTGAATTCAGCTTATAATCCTAATGAGAGAACTGTAATGATGCCATTCACAATGTCAAGAAAAAGGGTATTTATGCACTTCTAGAAAGCCACTAAAACAGAAGTTAAATTTGAAATACTTATTACAACAATGCTGCAAATCTTACAGGCCAAAAAGTGGAGTGGAGATGGAAGCAATGCGGGGTATTGGTAGGGCCTCATTAGTTATCCTACATTCTGTAGCAACAGCATGTGGCATTACTAATTCTGAAACTCTTTGATTTCTTAGTTGTATGAAGTCATTCTTATCTGCACTTATGAAAAAATGTACTCAATTTGCATCTTTGGGTCAAGAAGTGTGTATTTATCATTGTTTGACAATAGCTTGATTTTAAATTTAGTGACTATAATGTAATCTTCTCGTGTATTTACACTTATTTTTAATTGCTTGTTTTATATATTTATTGTTTTTTAACTAAGTCCTATACACTGCCCAGAGTCACTTTCATGTGAGATGGGCATCTATACATATATGATAAAAAATAAACAAATCTAACATCAATTTGTATAAGCTGATACCCATTTCATCTAATGCAAAGTAAAAAAAAAAAAGGCTGATACAATGCAGAACCTTATTAATCTAAAGGAGAGATAACTCCAATGTCTGATTAATTAAATA